TACTAACTTTTGAACCCCTGGTCGAATTCATGCCATTTTTTAATATGTTGTTCCCCTGAATGGATTGACTGTGAATATGTAATTTTATGTGAATGTGATGTATGGTTTTAAAGTTATGAAAGTTGGGTAGAAAGTATGTTTTAACTGTATGTGTAATTGAGTTTCCTCTCAGGATAAGGGGAGGGAATATGTGGGATGTAACTGATATGTGATTGGTTGTTTTATACCTCCCTGTGGGCGGTCCTGTATGTGAAAGGCTGTAATAAAAACCAGGCTGGGTGTGCCAGCACAGGAGTTCCTGCTTAACCCTCAAAGTGAAGTGTCGTCTCATTATTGGGGGAGGATTTATTGTATGCTGTTCCAGTTTGACTGCTAGGAGTATAAACCCATCCGTATGGTTTTTGCCTATTCAGTTGTTTATAGCATTCATATGCTTGAGAGAAGGTATAAGCTTCTTCAGTTCGATGATTGTGGTGTCTGCCAGAGTGCTTGGAGTCCTCAGGAAACGCTAGGAGCATCCTTTAACGGAGGTACCCAGTCGGGGTGCCAGAGTATCCGTTACATTGGTGACAAGCGGTGGGATGGCATCCTAGTGCGAGGTAAAGCAGCTCAGAGACACAGTTCGTTTGGAGTTACAAAGTGAAGGCAAAGCTAGTATCCGTACAGCGACCCTATCTACAAAAGAACTAACTTCAGCAGAGCAAGCATGGCGTATGACTACACTCAGGAGGAGTTTGACAGAGAGGTTAATGAGGTGCTGTCTAACTTTGGACCCAACCCAGAGAGAGCTGTGCAGCTCGCCAGGAAACTAGTAGGAGAATACCTGCAATCTCTAGTAGATTTGGCCAAAAAGGAGTCCCAGGGAGCCAAAGGTGTTGTCCTTCCTCCCCAGCGGCAGTGTGTACCCCAGGGAGCAGAAGGTGTTGTCCTTCCTCCCCAGCGGCAGTGTGAGTCCCAGGGAGCCAAAGGTGTCGTCCTTCCTCCCCAGCGGCAGTGTGTGTCCCAGGGAGCTGAAGGTGCCGTCCTTCCTCCCCAGCGGCAGTGTGTATCCCAGGGAGCTGAAGGTGCTGTCCTTCCTCCCCAGCGGCAGTGTGTATCCCAGGGAGCTGAAGGTGCCGTCCTTCCTCCCCAGCGGCAGTGTGTACCCAGGGAGCTGAAGGTGCCGTCCTTCCTCCCCAGCGGCAGTGTGTATCCCAGGGAGCTGAAGGTGCGTCCTTCCTCCCCAGCGGCAGTGTGTATCCCAGGGAGCAGAAGGTGCCGTCCTTCCTCCCCAGCGGCAGTGTGTACCCCAGGGAGCAGAAGGTGCCGTCCTTCCTCCCCAGCGGCAGTGTGTATCCCAGGGAGCCAAAGGTGTCGTCCTTCCTCCCAAACGGCAGTGTGTACCCCAGGGAGCTGAAGGTGCCGTCCTTCCTCCCCAGCGGCAGTGTGTACCCCAGGAAGCAGAGACCGTCTGTCTCGCACCCCAGCCGCAGGACAAAATATTGAAAGGGGAGACAGTTGGTCCCCCTCTCCACCAGCAAAGAGAGTGTCAGGGAGAGGAGCAGGTTACCCCCTCTCCCCAGCGGTAGTCTACAGTTCAGAGAGAGGAGCTTGTTACACCCTCTCTCCAGCGGCAGCCTAACCCACCAAGGGGAGATGTTAAGCCCCACAACTATGCAGATGGGACCGTAGTCTCTGCACTTGCAGCACCAGCGGTTGGTCCTGTCCCCCAGCCACAGAGCAGTGTATCCAGAGGGGAGACACTGGCACCAGGGCAGAGTACCGCTGGTCTCTGCCCACTCAGCAACCCACCAAGGCAGCCTACCAGTTTCCCGCACAGCCGTGGTGAGGCACCTGGACAGGGACAAGTTTCCACGTTATCCAGGTGGAGTAACCATTTATTGTGGGTGGGCTGTACTACTGTTTGTGCTTTGTGGGTGGGTTGCTGGACTAACCAGGGCACTGACCGACAGGCAGGCCCGGACTGGCCATCGGGCACACCGGGCAAATGCCCGGTGGGCCTCGGTGGCCATGGGCCGAGGCCGGCAGGGGAGGTCTCAGGATCTCCCCTGCCAGTCTATGCAGGGCCGGCACTCTCCTAGCGCCGGCCCCGCTGCTTGCCACAACGGGCCGGTGGGGAGATCAAGGATCTCCCTGACCGGCCCACATGCGGCTGCCGGCGGGGAGAGAGGGAGGGAACCCGCCAGCCAGGCTGGAGAGAGGACCCGGCGGAGCTCTAACTTGCAGCTCCGCCGGGTTCCTCTCGCGAGATCCGGCGCGTTGCCATGGCAACAACCGGATCTCGCGAGAGTGAACTCTAGCCTCACAGGCTAGAGTTCACTCACCCACGAGGACCACCAGGGAACACCGCCACCCCGCCTCCCAGCGTGCCGGACCCCCCCTCCCAGGCTAAAGGTAAGAAGGGAGGGGGGGACATAATGCCTGTTTTTTTTTTAATTTTTTTATTTACCACCCCTACACACACACAATAACATTTATACAGCACTCTCACACCCATCACACACAGCACTCTCACACACATTACACACAGCACTCTCTCACACAGCACTCTCACACCCATCACACACAGCACTCTCTCATCCATCACACACAGCACTCTCTCACACAGCACTCTCACACCCATCACACACAGCACTCTCACACCCATCACACATGGCACTCTCACACCCATCACACCCAGCACTCTCACACCCATCACACTCACAGCACTCTCACAGAGCACTCTCACACACACACAGCACTCTCTCACACAGCACTCTCACACCCATCACACACAGCACTTTCACACACACAGCACTCTCTCACAGCACTCTCACACCCATCACACTCACAGCACTCTCTCACAGCACTCTCACAGAGCAGCACTCTCTCACACCCACTGCACTCTCTCACACAGCACTCTCTCACACCCATCTCACACACCCATATCACACACCCATCTCACACAGCACTCTCACACAGCACTCTCACACCCATCACTCACACACGGCACTCTCACACACATCACACACACCGCACCCCTCACACACACACCGTACCCTCACACACACACACACACATAATGCACCCCTCACATACACACAGAACCCCCCCAACACACTGCACCACACACATACACAATACTTCCAAATATATATATATATATATATGTATATATATATATATATATACATACACACACACACACACACACACACACACACACACACACTACACTCTTAAAGGACCACTCTAGCCACCCAGACCACTTCAGCTTAATGAAGTGGTCTTGGTGCCAGGTCCTTCTAGGGTTAACCCATTGTTTTATAAACATAGCAGTTTCAGAGAAACTGCTATGTTTATCAATGGGTTAAGCCTTCCCCCAAAGCCTCTAGCAGTTGTCTCATTGACAGCCGCTAGAGGCGCTTGCGTGCTTTTCACTGTGAAAATCACAGTGAGAGCACGCAAGCGTCCATAGGAAAGCATTATAAATGCTTTCCTATGCGACCGGCTGAAAGTGCGCGCAGCTCTTGCCGCGCGTGCGCATTCAGCCGACGGGGCGGATCGGAGGAGGAGAGCTCCACGGCCGGCGCTGGAAGAAGGTAAGTTTTGACCCCTTTCCAGAGCCGGGCGGGAGGGGGTCCCTGAGCCACATATGCATCACATTACACCACAAACACAACACGACTAAAACCGACCTTATTACACAATACCACACCACGACCAGCTCACTCCACACACATGCAATACCACAAGCAGGCTCCAAACACATGCACAATATTCTTTCCTGGCCTTTTGTCTCCTGTGTCAATGAGACAGCCACTAGAGGATTTGGAGGAAGGCTTAACCCATTGATAAACATAGCAGTTTCTCTGAAACTGCTATGTTTATTAAAAAATGGGTTAACCCTAGAAGGACCTGGCTCCCAGACCACTTCATTAAGCTGAAGTGGTCTGGGTGCCTAGAGTGGTCCTTTAAATTTGCTTGCACTGTGCAGAACAAATACAGGACTTTTTTCTCATGCTAGAGCTCTTCAGCAGAGCTCTGCGCATGGTCTGCCCTGGAAGAGCATTGAACCAAATGCTCACTTTGAGAGGAGGCGTGTTTGTCATTGGTGATGACAAAACACACCTCCTCTGCCCCGCCCCCTTTTTAGTGGGCCGCTGTGTTAAAAAAATGCCCCGGCCGAATTTTTCTCCCAGTCCAGCCCTGCCGACTCTTGCCTTTGGACTATGGACCAGACTTTATGTGAATGTGTTAACCCAGATGGCTATGCCATGGAGCCCATTCGTGTAGTTAAAGACTTCGGCTCCATGGCAATTGAACTGTGTGAATAGGATCTGAGCGCTATTCGGTAGTTTTGTGCGCTCAGATCCCAGCTAATGTCTGTGTCTTATGTGTAAAAGGTGCCTTTATGTATTTTAAAGTGTTTTATGTCTTTTTGCAACCATGTGCTCAATGGAGTCTGCCTCTATCCCTGGATAATTGGATTACTTTCCCCCATTGTCTCCAGGATAGAGGGCTCTGTAAAACCTGTTTGAGCCAGATATCCATGTGCCAGCCAGGGCCCAAAATATACTTTTACTAACTTTTGAACCCATGGTCGGATTCATGCCATTTTTTAATATGTTGATCCCCAGAATGGATTGACTGTGAATATGTAATTTTATGTGAATGTGATGTATGGTTTTAAAGTTATGAAAGTTGGGTAGAAAGTATGTTTTAACTGTATGTGTAATTGAGTTTCCTCTCAGGATAAGGGGAGGGAATATGTGGGATGTAACTGATATGTGATTGGTTGTTTTATACCTCCCTGTGGGCGGTCCTGTATGTGAAAGGCTGTAATAAAAACCAGGCTGGGTGTGCCAGCACAGGAGTTCCTGCTTAACCCTCAAAGTGAAGTGTCGTCTCATTATTGGGGGAGGATTTATTGTATGCTGTTCCAGTTTGACTGCTAGTAGTCTAAACCCATCCGTATGGTTTTTGACTATTCAGCTGTTTATAGCATTCATATGCTTGAGAGAAGGTATACGCTTCTTTGGTTCGATGATTGTGGTGTCTGCCAGAGTGCTTGGAGTCCTCAGGAAACGCTAGGAGCATCCTTTAATGGAGGTACCCAGTCGGGGTGCCAGAGTATAAGTTACACACCGTGTCTCGACTCTTGATGTGGGAGGTGATTCCTCCGATCGTGTCAGGTTCACCAGGCAATGTGGCCTTGCAGACAAACTCCAACCTCAGGCCTGCGCCTAAGTCCACCGTCAATACTCGAATAGAACCGAATAGTGTCTATTCGTTCCTTTATGACCTACCTGGTGAATTGTCTCCTCCGAAATAAAGTTATATGCAGATAATAGTGTGGACAATACAAGCTGTATCCTAAGAGACTCCAGTCTGCCAACTGGACTGCGTAATCCACGGCTGCGGTCTAGAAAAGACATCCAAAGGGCGTCCAATCAAGTTCTCAAACTGAACTCGTGTGGTAAACGGTGGTCAACTATTCTGGGAATTGTGGATCCTGGAAAGCTCAAAAGGATGGGACCGGAAACCGGGGTTGAGATTTCCATCCAAATACATCATCCTCTAAGAGTGCTAAGATGGCCGGATCCAATAGAGTTTAGGACCCGTATAACACAGAAGAGCCCTTACGTGTTGCAGTGAGAGTGTGAGATACTCTGATTACCATTTATACAATCCTGTTCCATGCCCGACCTGTCAATATTCGTGTAGGGGTTCCTGGCCTACACGCCACCTACAAGATAGGGAATAATATAGTGAGACCCCTAGGTTCCTGTCTCATAGACTGTCCAAGCATGTATCTCCCAGTGTAGGTTTCCTTGATGGTAGTTGAATAGGAAGGCTAGTGAGAACCCAAACCAAGATGGTTCCCGTGATGGATATAGAGTCTGAACACTGTTCTCAAGATGTGTTCAGAGTTGAAGGAGCAGTCCTGCCAACTTTATCTCAAGATTGTAAGGACCAGGGAAGCCAAGTCCTGAGAATTTCGGTTTCTCCATGCGATCCATACATACGGTGCACCCGAAGACCGTTTATGTGAATTTTTCAGTCTTGTTACTCGAGCAAGGCAGTGCCCATTTGCCCTATGCAGGTCTCAGGATCTCATGTCACCCTGACACCGGAGAATAGTCTGCACAGTTTGTACACAATGAATATCTGAAACAGAGTGCAATGTCTGTTTGATATAGCACAGGTTATACCAAAACCTGTACTCTTGTAAGAACTGAGGCTCCTCCTTAGCCATACTGTCTCCCGAAATGTGTGTACATAAGTGGGAAACCTCCCCCACTAATACCTCTGAGGGTATTTCTCATGTGGATTACAAGATGGATCCAGTTGAACTATGTATACCTTGCCCGATCAGGTAGCCCTCTAGAACGAAATCAGTAGCGCGGTCATCATATTTAAATTGGATGTAGGAACAAATGGACGGCACCATAGTGTGTTGAGTGTATGAGAGAGTCGCACTCTGTAAAATGTGATCGCACTCTGAGTCCGTGCATGGTTGGTGGTATGAGCGGGCCGCACCCATTAGAAGTCAAACTTAGAGTCTACCTCTGTGTCCGGTTCCTTCTATGAGAATGAATCACTCGGAGCATGTCCTCTATGTCCAGCTCAGTATCGGCCCGAGGTTGAGGGAGGGCCGCGCCCTCTAATAATGAATCAGTGTCCGATTCGGTAAATGAGAGGGGTTCGCCCTCTACTCTTGAAAATAAAAAATATCAGTCTCGGGCCGAGGTGAAGGAGGGCCGCACCCTCTGTAATCCAAACCAGAGTCCAGTAGAGACTCAGGGTGACCAAACGTGGGGTTACACCCTATTTAATATAAGCAAAGTATACAACCTCGGGCCGTGTCCGACCTTAAGAGAAAGGGGTGATGAGAAAAGTGCGTTTCGGAGCTGAAGATGGTAATTATCAACTGACCGCCCGGATCCCGTGCGTGCGCGCGGGCTCCAGGATGACCGTCGGTAGTCTGAGGAAAGCTGGAGACGTTCTCCGCAATCCACAAGTGCCCGGGAGGTCGGAGGAGGTCAAGTCAGGCCTCTCGACGACCCGAGCGATAGGACAATAGAAGGCACAAAAACAAAAAAACGACCAATGAAGTAGAAAATGGAAAATACGTACCTCAGAAAGCAGGTCGGATAGCAGACTGGAAAAAAACGAATCAAGTGAATCCAGTTGAGAAGGTCAGGAGCTAAACATGACATAGAAAAACACTACCAATACCTAATATGGCGTCTGAGCACTGTTCCCTGCTTGTGCGAAATTCCCCTTGGAGATGTGTCGTCGTTGGGTATAACCCGTAATTGCGTGCCTGGGAATTCTCATAAAAACTTTGCCCTTCAGGGCATGAGGTGTAGGGCCTTCACCCTTCCAATCACAGTTAGATGTCCATATCCTGGTGTCCTCTTGGATAATCTGGCAACAGTGCCTGTCCGGACACCCACCTAGAGGGTACTGAGCTTACTTCAGTGATATTCCCCCAGGTTTGTGGTCCAAAGGGGGGTTCGGGCACAGGTAGAGCAGGCCAATCTTATGGCACAGACCGAGCAGGTCAATCTTATGGGCATAGCCTAAGCAGGCCAATCTTATGGGCACAGACAAAGCAGGCCAATCTTATGGGCACAGACATAGCAGGCCAATCTTATGGGCACAGACATAGCAGGCCAATCGATGGGGCACAGACATAGCAGGCCAATCCAGGGTTTCATATAAAAAGAGTAATGGGGACCTCTGAGTTTGGCAGAGTCCCTTAAATATCCATAAATCCTTCGGGTATCCTGTGACCTAGTACCCTTAGACACTAATCTTAGACAGCGTACTACTGTGTGAATAAACCGTAACCGGGACTGGCGGTCCCTAAGTGCCCAGCAGGCAACATAGAGGTAAAACCAGTTGTATTGGGTTTAAGCTGGACATGTTCCAGTGAGTGTCCATAAAATCAAGCTCTGCTGAGCAATACCTTCTTTAAAGTGCAAATTGTAATGCACATGTACATACAGATCCGTATGAGATATCTTATCTTTATTGTAGGTCATCATCATCATCATCGTACCGCCTGAAGGGTATTGTACTCATGGTCTCTTCAGGAGTAGGGCAAAAACAATTGCCAACTCAATGAATCTTCCCAAGAAGCCTGATAAGATAGAATAGTATTGGCATAGACAGGACTGACACCTACCGTCAGTGAAACTCACAGCAATCCGTGATATCTATAGCACTAAGACTCACAGCAAGCCGTGCTATATACACTGACATAGAACTCACAGAAATCTGTGATTTATGTATACACTGTCCTATAACTCACAGAATCCGTGATATATATACACATGGAAACTCACAGTAATCCGAGAAATCTGTGATATATCTAGGTGGACTCTCACCGTAGTCTGTGACATATCTACATGGAAATTTACAGTAATATGTGATATATAGACATGGACACTCACAGTAATTTGTGATATATAGACATGGAAACTCACAGTAGTCTGTGATATATAGACCTGGAAATTCACAGCAATCTGTGATTTATCTACATATGGAAACTCAGAGTAATCTGTGACATACACATGGAAAGCTAACAGAAATCTGTATAAATAAACACATGGAAAGCTACCAGTAATCTGTATAAATAAACATATGGCAAACTACCAGTAATCTGTATAAATAAACACATGGCAAACTACCAGTAATCTGTATAAATAAACACATTGCAAACTACCAGTAATCTGTATAAATAAACACATGGCAAACTACCAGTAATCTGTATAAATAAACACATGGCAAACTACCAGTAATCTGTATAAATAAACACATGGCAAACTACCAGTAATCTGTATAAACAAACACATGGCAAACTATCAGTAATCTGTATGAATAAACACATGGCAAACTATCAGTAGTCTGGAAAACTACCAGTAATCTGTAAAAATAAACAAATGGAAAACTACCAGTAATCTGTAAAAATAAACACATGGCAAACTACCAGTAATCTGTATAAATAAACACATTGCAAACTACCAGTAATCTGTATAAATAAACACATGGCAAACTATCAGTAATCTGTATGAATAAACACATGGCAAACTACCAGTAATCTGTATAAATAAACACATGGCAAACTACCAGTAATCTGTATAAATAAACACATGGCAAACTACCAGTAATCTGTATAAACAAACACATGGCAAACTATCAGTAATCTGTATGAATAAACACATGGCAAACTATCAGTAGTCTGGAAAACTACCAGTAATCTGTAAAAATAAACAAATGGAAAACTACCAGTAATCTGTAAAAATAAACACATGGCAAACTACCAGTAATCTGTATAAATAAACACATGGCAAAACTACGAGTAATCTGTATAAATAAACACATGGCAAAACTACCAGTAATCTGTATAAATAAATACATGGCAAACTACCAGTAATCTGTATTAATAAACACATGGAAAACTATCAGTAATCTGTATAAATAAACACATGGCAAAACTACCAGTAATCTGTATAAATAAACACATGGCAAACTATCAGTAATCTGTATAAATAAACACATGGCAAACTACCAGTAATCTGTATAAATAAACACATGGCAAACTACCAGTAATCTGTATAAATAAACACATGGCAAACTACCAGTAATCTGTATAAACAAACACATGGCAAAACTACGAGTAATCTGTATAAATAAACACATGGCAAAACTATCAGTAATCTGTATAAATAAACACATGGCAAAACTACCAGTAATCTGTATAAATAAACACATGGCAAACTACCAGTAATCTGTATTAATAAACACATGGAAAACTATCAGTAATCTGTATAAATAAACACATGGCAAAACTACCAGTAATCTGTATAAATAAACACATGGCAAACTATCAGTAATCTGTATAAATAAACACATGGCAAAACTACCAGTAATCTGTATAAATAAACACATGGCAAACTATCAGTAATCTGTGTAAATAAACACATGGAAAACTACAGGGAGTGCAGAATTATTAGGCAAGTTGTATTTTTGAGGATTAATTTTATTATTGAACAACAACCATGTTCTCAATGAACCCAAAAAACTCATTAATATCAAAGCTGAATATTTTTGGAAGTAGTTTTTAGTTTGTTTTTAGTTTTAGCTATGTTAGGGGGATATCTGTGTGTGCAGGTGACTATTACTGTGCATAATTATTAGGCAACTTAACAAAAACAAATA